TAGGATTACCTGTAGTGTACTACTCTACTAATCGAGCTCATTCAGTCTAGGATCAAGTAGGACTTTATGTGGTTGTATGTAGGCTGCGGGACGGGTAAGATGCATTTAGATATAAGAGTGACTACACCTCCCTAAGCACTTTAATACATATACTTTAACATTTAAAACCCCACACTTATGTCAAACCATGACTCCACCTTCACATCAATATACATCAACTCCAAAATTATTTAAGCGCATTTACATCAAGAGTCACCACTATCAAAGAATATTTTTCACAGCAATACAACTATTTTTTCTTTCTTTTCTTTTTCTTTTCCAATTCAAGTGGCTCTTACTTATTCAAAACCGTGCACCTTTCTCCTTATGTTCACCTAATGCTTGGATTATGGACCAATGCGCTCAACTACATAAACATTGTGATTGTCAACATCCTCAACACTAATGACATTAGAGTCAACTAAATATGTATCCACCATATCCTTGGTTGACTCTTGTGTCCCTTCCACGACATCGGCATCCTCAAAATCCAGTTCGATTGATTGTTGGTGTTCTACTCTGGCCTTCTCCTATAGCTCATCCCCGTATTTTTTTAAATCCTCCGGTATAATGGCAATTTCTGCAGCAAATTCATGCTCATATTGGCTACTATTCACAATGTCAACTTGTTGCGCTTTACAAGGTTCAATTAATTTATTCGCTTGTGCCTCCAAGTTGTGAATAGTTTCCTCTTGCCTTTGTATCTGTCAAGGTTTCTTATCATATAGTTCCATGCAACACTTTAACATATCTTTGATCTCTTTCTGGTCATCATCCCTGGGTTCTTTGTTCCTATTAACTTCATAAGAAAAAGAACCATCAAAGTAAGGGGTTGGGGGAAGATAAGAATTATAAGCACAACCATGAAAGTGACCATCTTGACCACCACACATATCACACACATTCCACACATAAGATTGAGTTGGTGCACATAACTCGCTCTCGGGAATATTTTGATAATTTTGCCCTGGGTGGTTTCCTCCACACTATGCACAAGGAGGATCAAAAGTAGAATTACCAACATCAAAACTCTCATGTCTCTCAAGTCAAAAATAAAAAATAAAAAAATAATCAAATAAAGAAAACAAAAATAAAAGTTGAAACTTGCAACCTAGAAATATTTACACCTACAGCTACACCATTAGTTCCCCGGCAACGGCGCCAAATTTGATCACGCCCAATTATGCCTTACAAAAAGGACTAAGCGGTCGTTGCAAATATAATCCGGTTTACAAGTCCGGAGTCGAATCCCACGGAGAACTAAGACTTAGCTACAGCTGTTCAATATCACCAAGAAGACAAGCTTGAACAATTTCTAACTTATAGATATTAAGATTATTGTGCTTAACTAATTAACTAACAAATTAAAAGAGTAACTTAACAACTAAAGACACTAAGGGTTAGAGACAAGATTAAGGAGGTCTAGAGTTATGATTTCCCCTATTGTCGGAATCCTACCTGCTACGTTTTCTATAAATTCGCCTAAGTATTCTCTACCGATCATGAGCGCTCTGACTGTCGTAACTCTCTCCTGAGTAATTACCACAATTCACTAGACATATTCTCCCGAATTACGCTAGCTGGCATTAAGTACGACTCACTCGGATCGCACCCAAGGTTTCGTTATCCCTAATCCCACATTTAAACCCTTCGTATTGATCCCTCATATACGTTAGGAGTGATGTTGTTGAACGACTACGTAAATATGCAATCACTCCCGAGTAATACACACTAAATAGGCACAGTCGATTGAGAGCTCTTCAACCAACCACAATAATAATGTAGTTGAACAAATAGAGAAAATACTAAGGCAAATCTATATTAATGTAACAGAAAAATTATCCTACAATAGGTTCCATCAAAACCCTAGATAACAAATTAGCTATTCATAATAGTATGCAAAAATACAATACCAGAATTCATAACCAATAATGGAAATAGGAATAAGGAAGTGAAAAACTCGTAGAAGAATTCTCCGCCTTGCTCCTAGTGTGTTCTTGCCTCCTTAGGTCGAATCTCCGGTCTCCTTAGCCTCCTTAGGTCTATATTATGTTAAAAGTATGTCTAAATGCTCAATAAAACCGTTTTTCCATGTATATATACCAAGTAGGGTCGGGTCCAAACAATTATACCTTCTTCTACACTAGAAAGGACATTTTTGCAGGTCAGGACGTCCGCGATCGCGGATTCGACCGTGGATTTTGCATAGTGTTCTGTCCGCAGCCGCGGATTCGACTGCGGACCTGACTGAGGACCACTAGGAATTTGAAAAAACGTAAAGCATGAACGTTGTAACCCTTTGAATTAGCTTTTCGATCATATATTGTGGAACCCAAATGGAGTTCTGAGCGAAAAGTTCTGTGTATTTTACTATACAGTGCGCAATATGCCTACTCGATTCTTCGGTAGTTCTTAACTATCATCTGTTGATCCCCGAACACGATCCCGACTTAATTTTTTGGGCTTTTACTCAGACTTCAAAACTCCAAATCACTTGAATTCATTCCATAATATCTACATAGCTTGGAATCACTCCTACAAGGCACAAAACACACAATTAGTGCAAAACACTAGCAATTAAAGCGTAAACTCAACTGAAGTGCATTGAATTTGAATGTAATAATCGATTAAATATACGTAATTATAGCCTATCATCAATAAATATAGCTTATTTTCGACAGTAAAAGATTAAATATGGCCCTTTTTTATTTTTAAAATGGGGAAGTATTTTTTAGATTAAAAAATGGAAAAATCTCACTTTATACTCATTAAGCCCAAACTATTTATCATTTAATACCCAAGCCCATACTATTTACTTTTCCTACCTATGCGGCCCAGACTATTTACCCGGCTCACCCATTAGCTATTCGCCTTCGCATTTAAAGTACAAAATGCTATAATATTTAGCTTCATTTTGCAAGGTTACTTAGTAGCTATTACAATGTGATAAATTAATAATTTGGTCTTTCCTTATTTTAAGTAGAAGATATGATCACTCAATATATTAAGTTTACCAGATCTGGTTTTTGTGTGTATGAAGACCCATCATTGTTGAGCTTGAAGCTCCTGAATTTGAAATTTTATTTTGAAGATTAACTTTTTGATTCGATGTGGGTGCGATAACGTACTGCTTATAGTACCTTCGAGTAAGCTTTCCGGATCTGAATTTTTATGTGTATTTGAATATCCACAATTGTTGGCCTTGAAGCTCTTGAGTTTAAAATTTTTATTTTGAATATTTCTTATTTGATTCAAAGCGGGTGTTATTAATATTATATATAGTACCTTCTGGAAGTTCATACTGAAATTTGATTGCAGCTGGAGCTGATTTGAGGTAATTGAGATCGAATTTCTTAGCTGAAAATCGAATAAGAACACAGTTACCCAACAGTATACCGCTACGATATACAATATGCTGTAGGAGTATACACTGCAACAATATACTGTTATATTATACAATATACTGTAACGGTATACCGTAATAATCGAAGAATAACACATTTACCTAACAGTATATGATTATAGTATAAATATACTTAGGAGTATATATATTGCAATATTATATTGTTATAGTATACAATATATTATAACGGTATACTCTAATAATATGCAATATACTAACAATATGCTATAATAGTATATAATATACCATAATAGTATACTTCGATTGCTATTTGTAGAATCACCTAGGTGCTATTATGCAAAGTTAAAGTAATGGCTATAGTAATATTGTACCGTTATAGTATACAATATAATATAACAGTATATCGTAATAAATAAGTCATTTTGACTTTATTTTTAATTTTTTCAACTAGGACCTTGCAAATGTTTTCTTAAATGATATTTTTGATGGAGTTGTATGAAAATAATATTCATTGTATAAGAAATAGGTGTTGAAAGACATAAAAATAGTAATATGAAAAAAGGAAATTAAAAAAAAGTTGAATGAAATTAGAAAAGGAACGCGAAATTAAAAAAAATAAAGAAAATGAAAGAAAATAAAAATTAAAATAAAAAGAAACAAGCCAGATTGAGTAAAAAAGCAGATTATGATTTATATTTATAAAGAAAATAAAAGAATAATATGATTATGGAAAAAAAAAATATATGAACAGAAAAAAAGAAAAAAGAAAAAAGAAAAAAGAGAAAAGAAAAAAGAAAAAAGAAAAAAGAAAGAAAAATTAGAAAAAAATAAAAAGTGTTATAAATAGAATTGTATTTATGGTGAATGTCTATATTTAGAGAGATTATAAGGTTCATTGCTTGGTGGCTATATATGACTTAACTTATATGACAATCCATGAAGGATTTAAGTTGCTTGAAACATATACAATTCTTGATCTTGAAGTACCACTTCCTCAGTGCAATTTGTGCACAAATGTATCTTGCTATAACTATAGGCATGATAATATGATAGCAAGAGTTTCACCTCTATGTGAAGATATTGAACTGACGATTCCAACAAGATCATATGAAGATAATTCATCTCTATCAAGAATGATGATTTCAAGGTGCAATATATTCATTCAAGTTAATATGCTTGATTTGTTCATCAAATCTCTACCAAAGATCTTTTGAATATGGTGCACAAGATTGGAATGCAAATGCTTAAGGATGTCAATTGATGCTCTCATCAGAGGGAGTTAATACCCGTTGTACTCTTTTTTCCTTAAAAGTTTTTATCCACTGGGTTTTCCTTGCAAGTGTTATAAATAGAATTGTATTTATGGTGAATGTCTATATTTAGAAAGATTCTAGGTTTATTGCTTGGTGGCTAAGTCACCCTCTCCCTATAAATAGAGGGTTCTATTCTATTGTAATTAATCCCAAAATCAATAAGAATTCTTTTTCCCTGCAATACTATTTTTCTTCTTTTATTGTTTTATAATATAATAAAAAGATAAAAGAAAGAAAAGAAAAAACTCCCAATGGGTATAAAACTCCCAAAAAAAAAAAAAGAATTTCCTGTTAAATTCATTCCCAGCAAATTTCTCGAGTACGCTTCAATTCGTACTGTTCGAAATTGGCACCCAGAACCCCCCAAGAAAATGGCGACTTCCGCCGTAGATGGTGGTGGTAGTAGTATTGGCGGAGAAGACATAAAGTTCAGCGTAATGGTTAGCCTATTCCAGTGGATACAGAAGAGCAAATCATCAGCGCAGAAGCGGTCCAAGTTCCGGAAGTTTCTAGACGCCTTCTGCAGGAAGCCTCAGGACAATTTCGCTGCTATGCGGCTCATTCTTCCTGGTCTCGACCGAGAGCGTGGCTCTTATGGACTCAAAGAGCACGTGCTTGCCACGTGCCTCATTGATGCCCTTGCCATGTCCCGTGACTCCGATGATGCCCGGCGGCTCCTCAACTGGCGTAAAGGCGGCCCCAAAACTGGCTCCAATGCCGGAAACTTCTCTCTTGTCGCTGCCGAGGTAAATTCTTCTTCTTTATTTGGAGGTAAATTTACAGATTGATTCTTGTATGGTTTTAAATGGTAGGCTTGCACTAATTTTGTAGTAGCGCTAGAGAAGGTTTTACTCTTTACGTACTCGAGTCTGAAATGATCAAAGCTGTCCCTTCAATCATTGCACGTGACACAAAACTACCTTGGTCACTCAGCCTCACACACTTGACTCTTATATTCCTATTAACATAACAGATTTTCTCTGCTTTTATCTCTCTACATTTATTTATGCTGCTAGTTCAGTCATCACATTCCCTTCTTCTTAGAGATTGACCTTGTCCTTAAGATCTTTGCTGGTCCTGAAACTCAAGGAACTGCTGTTTGATGTAGCTCCAATCTTCCCAAATTGTTTATTTTTTGAGCTAAGTTTCCCCAACTAATCCGCTCCTTGATAGCTGGACCACTAGTTTCCGTAACCATTTATATCTTTAAAATGACCTAGTGTTGAATGAGAACCTGACCTTCTGGACTGGAGGTGGAAGTTGATACTGAGGGCTCACATCAGCGGTCTAATATGTTTGATAGCTGTGTTGTTATTGTTTTTGTTTATTATTGTAGTTATAACATTATTACTGCAGTGATAATACAACATTGTTATGTTTTCCCCTGAGTTTGTCATGTTGTTGATGTTTCTGGTTAACCTTTTCTCTTCTTAAGAAAACTGAAAGATGTAATATATGCATAGATAAGTACACATTTGTAATTGCCACTTGTGAATAGGTCCTCAAGCACAAACATGGAATGACCTCTCCGGGCTAGCAAATAAGGAACTAAGACCCCATTTATTTTTATTAAGATTAAGACAATTGAATTTGAATACGCATTTGAATATTAGATGTTTATTATTATTTAGACGTCTGAATCTGAATGCAAATTTAAATATTAAGATGTTATATTAAGGTCTGAATATTAAATAATTAAGACTGCATCTGAATGTCGGAAGTTTGTCTTTCTTGAAAATTAATAAATTTAAAATTCAAATAAAATTCTGATTAATCTAATACTATATCAGCTAAATATTACAAAAATTAAAATTTATGTGGTGGTCCGTGCGATGGTGGTTATGAGTAGTATCTAGTGGTGATGGTAGCTGACAGTAGTGGTTGGTGGTGGTAGTTGGTGAGGGCAATTGATAATTATGGTGGATGTTAGTGATAGATGATTGGTGACGAATAATAGCGGTGATTGATGGTGGTTCTGATATTGATGGTTGGTTGTGATGATTATTAACGGGGCTAGTGGCGCTGACATCGACTGTGGCGATTGGTGGTGGTAGTTGATAGTGATGTGCGACAATGGCGGTGAGTAGCAGTGTAAATGGATGGAATAGTGGTGAAATGCCTTATTTGCAAAAGTTCGAACCAATAGCATCTTAATAATATTAAGACTTTGTTATAAGTCTTAATCATTCAAATCTATTTAGATGCATTAAGTAGTTGCAAGAGGAAAAAAGATACTCCCTCCGGTTCACAATAAGTGTCCAATTTGCTTTTTCATTTTGGTTCAAAATAAGTGTCCAGTTATGTAATCAAGAAAGAATTCAATTTGTTTTTACAAAATAACCCCTATACATATCCCTAAAAAGTTTTCTTACTCCTCACGTAAATGTTTAATTAGGGGTAGTTTAGTCATAGTAGATATTTTTGTATAGAATTTAGTATTTTCTTAATGGGCGTGCTAAAAGCAAATTGGACACTTATTGTGAACCAGAGGGAGTATGCACTTAATGATAGAGATCTGAATGATTAAGATTTCGACCTAAAAAACAAACACTTAGTGACTAAGATTTGAATGATTAAGTGCAAACAAATGAGACCTGAGTAACTTCTTAAGCATCCTATTAATACTCAAGAACAAGCTAAAATAACAGGAAACAGACACTAATTAACACATTATAAGCACTTACATTTTCATGGGTTTTTTTGTTGTTATTACAACTTCTTTTTGTAAGATCCATTAGCAACCGTGTTGTTATTATTATTTTTTTTATCGAAATTATTGTTGCACTTGTTATTACGTTATCACTATGGTGATAATACAACTTTATTATTTTTCGCCCTCAGATCGTTATGTTGCAAATGTTCTTGGTTTACTTTTTCTTCTTCAGAATGCTAAAAGTTGTAACATATATATGGATAAGTAGCTACATTAAAATGCCACTTGTGAATAGGTCCTCCAGCGTAGACAGGGAATGGCCTCTGCTGGGCTAACAATTAAGGAACTAAATGGATTCCTTGATCACTTGGCGTCCAGTGAAAACAGGTGAAGTTTCCATATTTGTTATATCTTTATCATTGTGATTTCCATACTTATAGACTACCAGTTTCTGTGTATCTTTATCCTCCTGATTTCTGTAGTTATACATTAAGAAGCTGTCTTTACATCAAATATATTCTTCCCTGAGCAATGTATGGTTATAACTAGCAGTTTTGGTATGAATCTTTGGCCTCAAAATAGGTAGATATGTCTAATCCTAGTTGAGCTGTGGTAGAAGTTCTTCAACTGTCGGATTTGCTTCCTAACATGAACCGAAGTATGTCCTTCAAAAAAAAGAATTGATCTACTACTTGGATGTCCTTCAAAAAAAAGAATTGATCTACTACTTGGATTTGACCACGGTTGTCAGAGTGATAAGAAGATAGCTGAGGTGTTATCAGAAGTTAGAAGGGATGTCTATATTATGTCCTTATCTTTTGCAACCCAATTTTATGGTCTCTTAATGTAAATTATGCATTCTTATGTCAATTTCTTTTGTCAGGGGAGGGGAAAATGGGAGGAGGAGCTGTAGATATTGCTCTGATAACATTCTGCTTTTGCTGTACTGCTTGTTGTATTTATCTTAAAAGTTGCTATTTCTTTGTAGTACCATCTGGTTACATCTCACCCATGTTATTGTTGCAAGTGTCCATGTTCTTCTCGTTTTCCTTTAATTGGGTTTGGATGTCCCGCTAGCCTTTTGGTGTGGGAAAGCAAAAGAAAAAGATACTTTAAAATCTCAATAATAACCTTAATATATAATATAGTGATAAATGGATTGCATAATACCATTGCTTCTGTTTTCACTTCTCATTTTGTTTCTACCCTATTATGTTGTGCAGCAAAATCAGAGTAAACTTTAGGATCTTTTAGTTGACAGATGGCAATCAGGTAGTATTTTACTATTTTTAGTAGTGAGATACTATGCTTTTTTGGTTGATAAATAGTAGCGAGATACTATACTAATGGGCTGATTATATTCTCGGTGAAGGAATTGTTGGATATTTATCTTTTTTTCTTGTCGATAAAGTTGTTGGTATCTTATCTTAGGTTTGGATCATTGGACTCAAGGTGGGACTGGGGTATGGCCTTGTATTTCTTTAGATGATAAGTCAATACAGAACTGTTCCATTGTTAACTCAAGCCTAGATCTCCTGCAGGAAGCCTGTAAATGCATACTTTAGTTGTAGACTTTGATTGCTTCTTCGAAGACCATTACTTTAGAAAGAACTTGATCAGATACTTTATTGCTCCAGTATTCACTATTCACTTAGCTTGTTATATTATGCTTCATGAAGATGTATTTCTCTTGTTTTAACAGAGCAGAGAAGACTTCAATTCTGTCTGATCTCATCAGGAAAACAAATGCGCAAGAAATGAAATGGATTGTAATGATAATTCTGAAAGGTGTGATGATTTTTTGTCAATGCTTAAACTGTAGGATCACCCTCCATAGCGAATGATGCCAATTTGCCATTGACTTACGTCTTCATCTTTCAGATCTTAAGTTGGGAATTAGTGAAAAGAGCATCTTCCATGAATTCCATCCTGATGCAGAGGACTTATTCAATGTCACATGCGATTTAAAACTAGTTTGTGAAAAGTTGAGGGACAGAAGTCAACGGCATAAACGCCAGGTTTGCTTCAAGTTCTCATATTGAACCTTATGACATACTTCTTTTCCTGACTCGGTACTTTTGTTGGATATGTTATTCCACCAGATTTTTTTAAAATACAAATTTAACTGTAAAATCTCCTCTTTTTTTTCCCCACTTTAGTGACTAAGTGTATATTCCTGACCTATAGTTTGGTAGATATTTGTTCACCGCTTGCAGTTGGTAAAGATCCTAAAGTCACCCTAGAGATGAGCAAATGTGTTATTTCTTCAGCTAGAGTGCTTATGTTAATGGTCAGGTCCTACTAAATTCGTCTCTCATTGCCTTCCGTGGTTGAGCAATCTACTCTTTTATGAAAGCTTGATTTAGAAAGTCACCGATAATGATTGGGCGTTTTGGGAAGAAAGGATAAGATGACAGGTTTTGTGAAGTGTTGGAAGCAATGGCTGAAGCACTGATTAATTGATTTTCCTATGCTACATATTTAGATTTAGATTTCATCAGCAACTTTACTCTTGGTTGAAGGACTTTGATTTCCGAAGTAGGTGATTTTTATCCTGCCTCCATTTCAATTTATGTGACACGCTTTCCTTATTACTCATTTCTGAAAAGAATGACATATTTCTATACTTGGAAACAATTTAACTTTAAACTTTTCATTTAACCTATTTTACCATAATGAAAAGCTTTTATAGCCGCATAGATGCTATGGCACCACAAAGCTTTTACCCTTCAAACTTTTGAGTCCACAAGTTTTAACTATCTTCTTTTTTCTTCTTAAACTCCGTGTCGAGTTCAAACTACGTCACATAAATTGAAGAAAAGGCTTTGTACTTTGTTCGATGTTTAAAATTAAAGAATTTGCAGTCGTGATTGACGTTTTCAAGTGTGTTCCTTTACCTTGTGATGTAGATTGTTATGTTGAAGTTATTAGAAGTAGGTATTATTTTTATGAGATGTTCTTACATAAGTGGTTAATGGAAAGTGCAATGGTGTTCGACTATGGGTTCTTTCTTTTTGAAGTTGAAGGGATGGCAGCTCTGCATAGTCTACTGTGTCGAATCATGAATGGATCCACTAATTAGTTTTTTTTCGATCAACCATGTTTGTCTGAGACTATAGCAAAGTAAAGCTGTTGCAACAAAGTACGACTGATGAGGCAATTCTTTGGCTTAAATCAACAACAACAACAACCCAGTATAATCCCACAAATGGGGTGTGGGGAGGGTACTGTGTACGCAGACCTTACCCCTACCCTGGGGGTAGGGAGGCTGTTCCCGAATAGACCCTCGGCACAAATTGTTTGGCTTAAATCACAGGTACATAAATTTAGTAGAAGAAAAAATTTCAGGAAAAGATAGTTTTCTCAGTCTCAAGTAACTTATGCATTTATAGTCAATAGAACCATCAGCAATCCAGTGAAAATATGTGATGTTCCTTAAATTATAATAATTGTAGTTGTAGGTAATTTAGGGTTGGCTAACTCCTAAGCAATCTTCAACATCAATCCTGGTAGGAAATTCCTGAGTGTAGAAATCCAGATAAGGGTTATTTTCTCACAGTGAAGTAACTTGTGCAGTTACAGTAACGAGAAGGGTAAGCTATCCCCTCTCAAGGTCGTGTCCTACCTTTTGGAGATGAAAGAAATGAGGAAATCTCAACTTCGGTCCTTTTATAGGCTGAAGATATTGGGAAATGCCTGTAAGAGAACCCATTTTTTTCACCCACACATAAGAAACAATGAAAGCAGAATTGTCATTTTTCTGCTATCACGAGCAGCCGGACAGGCCTCCGATGCATGCACATGATTGTCCGACAGACAGCTTTCAGTAAAATGCCCACAACTTTTTGTAGGAACGTCCAAATATTACGAACCATTTGATGCATTGTAAACTAGACTCCAAGTTCTACAATTTGCTTCCGAAACTGTAGTCAAATTCCTGTTCTATCAATAGTTGTGCATCCTTGAAGTTATGCTATGTTTCGCATTTCCCCCATCACTCTTTCAAAACCACTCTAAACTACCTCTACCCTTTGTCAGACATCCTTATCACCTTTCATAAGATTTCAGTGTTCTACACCTTCTCAACACGTCAAACACCTCTTTGCACAACTAAGACATGAATGTGAACGTAAAACTTACCGAAAATCTTACAGTGTGCAACAGTAAAGGAGTGGGAAGGTAAAGAATTTGTATCATATGCAGGACAGTTGTAGAGAAGGCAGTAAAAGAGTGCCAAAGTAGAGAATTAGTATTTTATTGCTGTCAACAAAGTGATATAGAAATGATTGTGACATTTGTATCATTGTTCAAGTCGAATATGAAAATAATTTATCAATCAATCAACTATGCTTCGAACCCATAATAACAATATTTAATTTTTATGTTATCCGTCATAACACAACCATCCTCCTTTGTTCGAACTTGGGACTGACTATGCGAAGCTCCCGTAAGCGGAGTTTGAATGTGACAAGCATATACAAACATATTTCATATCAAGAAACAGGGTTGAAAAGGTCTTTCCATGAAAGGAACTTGTTCCACAGCTCGTGGCAAAATTGCAACAGTTAGTATGATCCTTTTAGTTTTTGAGGTGGTATGTCATTGATAACATCATGATGTTAATATCATTTAAGTTCTCCCCTGTCTCTAGTTTTGCATTCTATACATGTCCAGCTGAGTGATTGCACCTGGTGTTGTTTTCCTCAGGACATTGAAGTTGGAAAAGCGGTCCGCCCTCAGCTGGCTCTTAGGGTCAGTAATGCATCTGCTGCATGGAAAAAGGTTTTCTTAGATTTGCTATTTTATCTCAATGTTTATCCCCCCCCCCCCCTCTCTCTCCCCCTCCCTTTCACACACCAAGTCTTTCTAGCGATGGTAGATTTACTATTAATTAACTTTGTCTCATGCTAAACTAGTTAATATGTCAACAGCTTCATGGGAAGGAAGTAGTTGTTGAGTGCAAATTTGACGGGGATCGTATCCAGATTCATAAAAATAATTCTGACCTAAACTTCTTCTCAAGGTACCATTTTCATAGCTTTATATCTAATCCTTCCTTTTGTTGCATTTCCTTGGCATTATTTAATCCTTGCTATTTTGGGTCACAGATATTTGCTCAATTTATCTAAACGAGTAAGGGGCATTTTCATATATACTCACTTTTGGTGCCACCATTGAAGTTATACCCGTATTGCACAAAATTTTGCAAAGTGTACCCGCTGTCCGGCTTGGATCTGAAGTAGTTCAATCTTTTCAATGCAACTTCAGAAATCAAATCTGAAGTTCTTCTATCTTTTAAATGCTACTTCAGAAATTCGAATGTAAAGTAATTCAATCTCTTCAATGCAACTTCACAAATCAAATCTGAAGTTCTTCTATCTTTCAAATACAAATTCAGATTTTCAAATCTTAAGTAGTTCAATCTATTGAATACAACTTCAGATTTCGAATCTTGAGTTCTGAAACATAAACTTGTTCTTTGAATTTCAACAATCCAATACACGATTCAATGCCCAAATCTTCTCCAAGTGAGCTCAAATTTGAAACATAACTTTTAAATATCATAATTAACAAATGTCAATCATCAGATTGTCAAAACAACAACAAATTTAACAAACCCATTTTGCAACTAAGAAGAAGGAGAAGAAACTCTAAGCACAAAGAAGAAGAAAACAACAGTAAAGAAGAAGAGAAAAGTGTATGTATCTGAAGTTATCCCAAAATTGGGTATTAGTTTAACTTTTTTAAAAAGTGGGTACAAATTCAATTGGTGGCACAAAACTGGGGGCCAGAAGAAAATTTTACAATGAGTAAACAAATTTTTTCTGTTGTGTCCTACTGGATTTGAATTTTTGTACTTTCCGAGTAAATCTTGATATGCATACGCTATGGTTCTCATAATGAATTAATATATGCTTTTCTGAGCGCGATTATTTACTCAATTTTCATGCAGAAACTTTTTTGATCATCAAGAGTATGCTCATGGAATGTCAGATGTTATTACACAGAATATTCTTGTTAACAAGTAAGCGAACAGATATCTCAATCGCAAAACTTCCCTTCTTCTCTTTTTACCCATTGTTTTTCAATATCACCCTGTGATTTGTTTATTGTTGTTTCATGTCTAGATTTGCTAGCAAATCCACCGCATGCCTATCAATCGTACCCTGGACTCATATATACTTAGTTTGCCCGTTTATGAACTTAGTTTCAACTCTTGACTGTGAAAATGTTGTGGGGCTTGGTTTTATGATCACGTCATGTCTCTCATTTCCCTGTCAGTCTCTCTCTCTCTCTCTCTCTAGTGGTCAATTTGGGATGGGATGCAAGGTTGTATAATGAGAAATTTTGGGCGATTGGCACAGATTGATAATGTAGCATAAGTTCTGTTTAAAGAAGAGAAGAAGAATTAACTTACTTTGTGGAGGAGCTCCGAACAGCCATGTGCAGCATGGTGATAGAAATCTTTCTTTCAGCTTTTGGACGCTGTACATCCCTAATAACTGGTGTGACATGAAGTGAAGTTTTTGGTTTATCTTTTATTGATGGCATCAAGTATCTCTAATAACTTGTTTTCTGAAATTAAAAGAATATGCATTGTTATTTTCTGAACTGGGCAGAGCTTGGATAGCTATATCTATTGCCTTTATCTTGCTTGTAATGAAGGGCACTTACCTTTTTGCAACTATGGTTCGCCTTGCCTCTTTTCTTTTGATCAGGTGCATACTTGATGGTGAAATGCTGGTTTGGGATGCATCAATGAACCGCTTTGCAGAGTTTGGTTCCAATCAAGAAATAGGTACTTATGATCTTTGATTGACATTTATTTGTAATCTATTTGTTTTGTCTACAGATGCATTTTCCATTTTTGCTGATGATATGCTAATCCATTGTGAACCTATCTTTGCGTAATTAATTGCCTGACTTCTCATTGTGAATTTCTTACCTTTGTCATAGCAAAGGCTGCAAGAGAGGGTCTTGATAGTGATAGGCAGGTTTGTCACGAGAACATTACTATTTTATTGAGTCATTCCTACAAAAACTTAGCATAATGACTTATGTTTTGGTTGTGATGCAGTTGTGCTGTATCCTTTTCTCTCGGCAACTGGGTTCAAGTTTGGTAGTGTTCTCAACAGGAGTTGAGTGATTGTGTTGATGTCAGCGATTCTTGTCTTTAGAGTTCCATACAGTTGGTTGGCTTCTATCTCCCTTAACATTAAATGTCAATAGACATTGCATTCGATATTCTTTATGTTGGGGATACCAGTGTTATTCACCGAAGCTTGAAGGAACGTCAAGAGATTCTCCAGAAAGTCGTGAAGCCCATAAAAGGCCGTTTAGAAATTTTAGTCCCTAATGGCGGTCTTAATGCTCATCGTCCTTCTGGTAAGGACGCTCTTCGATTCAATAGGTTGTTAGTTATACTCTTTTTTGCATGATTCACATTCTATTCAGCAATAATGGTTGTTTCAATATCCTGAAGTTTCTGGTGATATTAAGATCTATATGTGGTTTTATTTCAATGAGATGCCCGTGCCAAGAACCAAAGCTTCTCCATTTGTCCTCATCCCAGCTGGGGAATATGTGAGAATCCACCATGGTCTCATGCTGTGAACTTTGTTATATTGTTCAGACTCAAGAGTATGCGCCTAGAAATGTGACTAGTATAGTTCTCCCCATAGTTAAGTTAATTGCAGAAATCTGAAATCTATATAACTTTAGAAAGCACCTAAAGAGTTCCCTAATTGTCGACGTTCATGTCCCACCAATTTCAAAAAATAATACATCTTTGTTGTGCCTTCTTTGGTAATATTACATCAATAAAAGCAAAATTAGTAAAAGCTTCTGGATGATTATTTTTTTAAATTTTTATATGAACTTTTCTGGTTGACTGTTTTAAATTTGTTCGACAAGTTAGGGTTCCCCGCAGTTAGCACATGCCCAATTGCAAAGAATAGCTCGTTTTCTTTTTCCCTTATCTTTTTCAACAAAACAGCAGATGCTACTATTATTGAAGTAGAAATAAGCTATACAACAGAGTTGAAGGCCTCATTTAGGCTATATCACGCGGACTCTCCAAAATGCTACCGCACTCGTGTCGGATCCTCCAAAAATATACTACTTTTAGAAGATCCAACACGCACCCAATGACATTTCGGAGAGTCTGAGCAACAAAGCATTTAAGCAGGAAAATAAGTGAGTCGGACACTTTGAAGAGAGAAGTGGATAAATGTGTCATATGATGACTACAAGTGTTTCGTTTTCGAAGGAGACATGATTCGGGAATAGCTTTTGATCTGATTTTTGCTCCTCTTTCTTACATGTATACATTAAAAAAGCCAGTCCTTAATAAATGCTTAGATGTCTCATTATATTGGAAACAAGACTAACAAATTGGATATAAGTAACTATCTTGTGAACACGTAGAACTGTTGCACACAGTTTTAGTATGGCTCCTTCTTTCTTAGGCTACATGCTTTGACATAATTATACATATTTTAGTTCTCATCCCTCGAATGTACCTATTATTAAAACAAAACAGGAGATAATTATCACACATACAACAACAACACGTCTTAGTTCCAAACAAGTTGGATCAGCTATATAACTCCTCACTGCTGATGTTATTCCATTTAAGCTCATCTCATGTCAATATTATACAATTACAAATAAAAGATATTAGAAGTTCTCTATAGTTTCTGAATATATAAATCTCTTAAAGGCTAAACCACTCCTAGAAAGCACACGATCTATAGTAAAAGTGCTAACATGTTTAAACCATATTCTCAACTAATAGGTATCGCCTATAACTTTTTCTTTCATTGTGCCTTATCGTTCCTTAAGTCTGCAGGGATATATAAAGATCGTTGGTCTTTTGAGACAACTTCCTTCCATGTGATTTTAGGTCTACTTCATCCTCTTTTAACACTTCAACTCACTATAGTTTCACATCTACGGAGCGGTGCATCAGAGGTCGACATAGGACATGACCGAACCATCTCAAGCGACGTTCTCTCATTTTATCCTTGATAATTGCTACTTGAACCTTCTCGTGAATATGGTCATTTCTAATTTTCTCTTATCTTGTATGACTATACATCCATCTTAACATTTGCATACCTGCAACAGTTATCTTATGGATGTGTTGAACTGTAGACGCCCAACATTCACTCTCATATAGCATTGGTGGTCTATGATTGTTTTATAGAAATTACCTTTCACTTTGGTAGGCATCCTTCTATTATATAAAACCCCTGTAGCACTTCTTTATTTTAACCATTAGATTTTACTTCTAATTTTTTTGATGAAGAACCATGCGATTGTAACTTTATGTTTAACATCTTTATCAATCATTCCATTCTCCTGGAACAACAAGCCTAAACATTTGAATTGTTTGCATTAAGGAACTAAATTCCATATAATTTCACCTCAATTTCACTTTTCTTATGTTGATTAAACTTGCAATGTATATATTCGGTCTTACTTCTACTTATTTTATTTTAAAACTCATACTCGCTATAGTGCTTCTCCATTGTTTAAGCTTTTGGTTGAGATGCTCGCTGTTTTCATCAATTACCACAATATCATCAGCAATTACTATCCACCATGGGACCTCATCTTATGTTGTGTTGGTTAGCTCATCCATAACTCAGTGAACAAGTAGGGGTTAATGCCGATCGCCGAAGTAAACCCCAGGCTATGAGGATCTCCTTTGTATCTCCTACTACTGTTCTCACGCTAGTGACGACTCCTTCATACATGTTCTTTTTGGCATTTATATATATTTATTTAAAAAATATGAACACCCACTAAGAGCACTTCTTGGCACTCTATCATATGATTTTTCCATATCAATGAACACCATTTGCAAAACTGCAGATCTTCCTTCCTCTCGCGATAAACTTCCATCAATCTCCTTAGCAAAGTATAGCCTTCGTTTTAGATCTACCGGGCATAAATCCAAACTCATTCTCTGTCATTCTTGTAATATCCCTAAGTCTACGCTTTATCACTCTTTGCTAGAGTTTCTTTGTATGTCTCATAATTTTGATGCCACGATAGTTTGCACAACTTTGAATGTCTCCTTTGTTTTTATAAATTGGAATTAGGATACTCTTTTTCCACTCGTTTGGCATCCTACTACTTCTTAGTATAACATTAAATAGCTTGCTAAGCCTTCTACTCCAACCTCTCAAAGACACTGTCAAACCTCAATGGAGATACCAACTGGAACACGAGCTTTTCTAATCCTCATATGTTTCATGGCATCCCTTACCTCGTATCCTTTACCTATGCTGGCCTAATCTATGTGTGTAGCTAAAGTTTCTATTGTGCACATATGGTTGGAGACCTAGAATGTTATTATCATGGTTCAAGTTGAACAATTGATCAGTGTAGCCTTTGTTATCTCCCCTTGATCTCATTATCTCCTATCAACACTCGTTGAGAATCGTCTTTAATACACTTACCCGATTTAAGTCCTCTTCTCTATCAATCGTGTTAGTTTAAACATCTCTTTTTTCCCTTCGTGTTTTCCTAGATTTTTGTACAAGCTATCTCGGGCTTCCTCTCGACCTTTACTAATAGCTTTCTTAGCTTTTCTCTTAGCTCTCTTGTACTCTGCAAAGGTTCTCCACCTTCTGCTTTTGACAACTTCCTATAGCACTGTTTTTAGCTCTAATAACTCTTTGCACCTCCTCATTCCGCCACAAATATTCATTATGCCGAGGTCCTACACCTTTAGACTTACCTAACACTTTGCTTGTTACTCTTTTAATGCAACCTGACATTTCCTCCATGGAATGTTCCGTCACCCTCCAAGTCCCACGCTTCCTCCTCCCTAGTTTTTCTTGAAAAGCTAACTGTTTAGCGTCCTTTAATGCCGACCACTAAGTTCTCGGTTGCTTGCAAGTTGTCTCCTTCCTCACTCTCCCCTTACGCTTTACAGTTTACATCCAAGACCACCAACCTATCTGGGTGGTCATCGCTTCTCCTGATATAACCTTATAGTCCTTACATGTGGTCCTATCACGCCTTCTAGTAAGAATAAGTTCCTGTTTTTTGTAGAGTCAGCTAAATTTTCTACTTTCACATCACAAACGTGTAGTACTCGCAGTACTCGCAGCATGATTATACTGAAATTCCCAAATTGCTCATATGTCAGCAGGTAGGACGATGGGAAACACCTCAAAATGAACTGCCTCTTTTATAATAGTATTAACTTCTAACCATAGTAAGTGGAAGTTGCATATATTGCTTGCTTTAGTTGTGTTCTTATTTGTTTATTGTTTGACTGCTTAACAGGGGAGCCATGTTGGTCGATCATTGCTCATAGTGTTGACGATGTTGATAAATTCTTTAAAGAAACTGTTGAGAACAGGTTCGCATTGTGTTTCTGTTCTAACTTTCTCGAGTCAACAACAAGACTCTTGTATTACATATAGTGGCATATGTAATATATTTGAAGTTAATATATTGAGCATGTTTCAATTTCGCTCTTTATATATATATATATATATGTATGTATATATATGCATATGTGTGTGTTTATGTATGTATGTGTGTGTGTGTGTATATGTGTGTAGTGTGTGTGTGTGTGTTTGTGTGTGTATATATTATTATTATTTCCTTGGACACACATGTAGCTGCTGATGTTCAAAGGTAAAAATGAGATCTTGCTTCTTGATGTTCAAATGCATGGAAGAATTGCTTGAAACTTTTAAAGAACTGATTGGAGAATAGTTTCTATGTCAAAAATTATTTTGACTATTAGCATTGCAATTTGAGGGATTAAGGAAAATATGTGCGTCATAAAATGCAGAGAGTATGATTGTGGATATATATTCTGGCTTCATGGCTGTGCAACAGCCAGATTAACATCGTGTATATTCAAAAATTGTCCTTGCAAATACATTTGAAACTAATTTTGAAGCTAAAATCTTGGAAGTGTAACATCTTGCGAATGAGAAAAGAAAAGAATGACTTTATACTATCGTGTGTTCACTGCTTTTTAGAACTAGCTTTTACTGGAAAGTCAAATGGATAGCCATCATATTTTCTGGCTGTATTTGTTTTGAATCTGATTTCCCTTCTTCAGAGAGCCTAATATATGTGATAAATTTGGTTCATTTCAGAACAAGTTTGTGAGATTACCTGATGATCTATTAGCAGCTATGCTTTTATAGATCTTATGTGCTACCTGCAGTAGCATCGCTACTGTTCAACTAGTGGGTGACTGGGGAAAGGAAGATGTCACAAAAGGCGAAGATGCAAAGACAAATGCTTTTGCGCCTAACTTCCGCTCTTCGTTTCTTGTGGTTAAGAATTGGTTCTTACTGGAGTACTTGGAATTTCTTTTACCTGTAACATAGAAGTAATCAAAGTTCGGTGACTGACTGGTGATTCTAGCTACTTTTTCTTGGCAACTGAGGAACATATAACAGAGTGCATTTGATTTTCAATCCCTTTCTAGTTTTTTCTTTAAGCTGTGTCTTTGGGTGAAATGTTCTTCATTGCTGAACTCCTATTCATGCTTTTAGGATTTCTACTTACAGTGTATCATCTGTTTTTTTAGACGGTAACATTTGTATATATTAAAGAGGTCTGTACATAGGTTGTACTGAAAACCATATTTACAAGTGAGCAAAAGAGAGAAGAAACTGTTCTGCAGTCCTAGCAAGATTCTAGAATTTCTAGGATTGATATAGTATCTTCTATGTAAACCTGTTTACACCAAAAACAAAAAAGCAGAACACAATTTAGTTTGATCTTTTGCACTGAGTTGCAATGTATCATCTACTTCTAATCAATGATATATCATGTTACCTTCCAAAAGAACCTACAAATTTATAGTTTTAAGAGTATATGCAGATATATATGCTTTCCCTCAAGTGTCCCACATTGGTGGAAGAAAGGAATTGTTGTCTCCCTATATGGTCATGGACAATTCTCACCTCATGAATTAGTTTTTGGGATTAAGTTAAGCCCAAGGTCCATGTCTTATCATGGTATAAGAGCCAGATCCATTCTTATTCTTGATTTACCCAATGTTGAGCCCCCATGTTATGTTATCCGTGCTCTAGCGGTGTGCGGCGGAATGTTAAGTATCCCAATTAGGGATGGAAATGGGCTGTTCTCTCCTTACATGGTCTTGGCAATCCTCAATTTATGAGTTAGCTTTTGGAGTTGAGTTAGGCCCAAGGTCCATTTTGTATTGGGTACAAAATAGTCAATGTTCTTGGTGGTGAAGCGTCCTTTTTCCTTTTCTTTTAGTTGTTTTGGTCCAGCCAATGTTCTTTTAGCTTTTGAAGCATGACACTGAGGGGGTGACGACCCGACTCTTTGAACTCCAATTAACAGTCAGTTCATGACCATCCATTGGAACCTCAATCATTTGTCATGCTGTCTATCCTTTGATTTTAAACAGCATGAAGTAATTTCTAACTTAATATATTTGTACTGATTATGAAAGTAACATGCTTAATATATTTGTACTGATAATCAAAGTAACATGCTTTTCTCCAAAGATGAGTTAATTTCCTTAAGAGGTGACCTCTTGGACACCTTGAAATACACATTAGGAGGTAAGGGCAACAAGTTATAGTAATATATGAACTTATCAAAAAAAAGTTATACTAATATATGTATATTACTACTTACTAGTGTATAATCTATATTTATGCTATCTCATTGTCCAAACCTGTTCAGTGTAGTGGTTATCTGTCTGGTTTATTCCAGCAAAGAGTTCTGCAATGTAATTAGCTCCAAGTCTCGTCGATCTATTTAGATTTTTCTTGATATGATTATCGGAGATTCTCGGTGGTGCTGTGCTTCTACACGAGGTTTTTAAGGGAATGTTCACTTCCACGAATAAGAGGTTTTGGGTTTAGGCCTCTACCTTTTTTCTTCTTTCGTTCCTCTCTCTCTCTCTCTCTCTCTCTCTCTCTCTCTCTCTCTCTCTCTCTCTTTGTGATCGGGTATCTAGGGCTTAAGCTTATGTGTGAGTAAACCAGAGATCTGGCCATTGGTCAAGAGTTTCGTATTATTCAGTTTCAACTACAGATATTCCCATGCCTAACGAATAATGACCAAGTTTCCTAATGATTATTTAGTGTATGAGTTTCTTATTTGATTTAATGTGAACTGTTATTCCCAGTAGTTATGTAAATTCTTATGCGTATAATTGGTGATCTCTTCAGAGATGAAGGAATTGTTTTGAAAGACCTAACTTCAAAATGGGAACCCAGTGATCGGAGTGGAAAATGGCTAAAGTTGAAGCCTGAATATGTTCGAGCTGGCTCTGATTTGGATGTTCTTATTATTGGTTTGTATTGCTTATGGAAGGTTTCTGTTTCTGCTTTTTGTACCAAGTATTCTCTCCAGGCTAACTTTACATTGTCAACAGGAGGCTACTATGGTTCTGGGCGCCATGGAGGAGAGGTGGAAGATTCCACCTTCTACATTACTTATTTGTTTGTCCATTTATTTGTTTGTATTTTTACGAGTTAAACTCTAAATTTGCCATTGGATATTAGGTAGCTCAATTTCTGGTTGGTCTTGCAGAGCGTCCGGCTCCAAATACATATCCAAGAAGGTATATATATGTTTTTGAAAAGAAAGAGTCGCCTTGTCAAATATTTCTCTCTTTTGAAAAATAAGTTTGTTGAAGTTGAATGCGTGTGAAAATTTTGTCATTTCTTTTATGATTTTGTGAGTTGAACAAGGGTTTTTGAAAATTCTTTGAAAAGCACCTGGAAACGACAGCTTCAAAAAACAGTTTTTGGAAATAAAGTTTCAAAAAACTTAAACAAATACCAACTTGAAGATTTATTTCACAAGTTCTGGAAAAGAGTTCATGGACGGATGTCAAATGTTACAAAGTAACTATGTCATACAAGTTTTAGTGAGGAGAGTAGTGTTTTGGTCAATTTGTGTATGCACCAATATGTACTCTAGTTGAGATGCCTATTCTTCAATTCTCTACTTTGAAATGTTTGCTATTCCCAAGTATAGCAAGTCTTTAAATTGAAAGGTTGCAAAGACTTTAAGCAAATGTTAACTTTAATCTTTTGCTAATTTTTATTAGAGGGTGATATGCATTTAAAAGAAACAAAACGTGTCTGAAAGAAACATAAGGATTGTTTCGTTTTGCTTAGTTTTACTTTTAAAGTGTTCCACATTAGTTGAGAGAATGGGTTGTTGTCTCCTTATATAATTGGCAGTCCTCATATCATGAACTAGTTTTTGACGTTTCTTAACATGGTATCTGAGCTAGACCCATCCATATTCTTGGTTTACCAATTTTTGGGCCCCTATGTTATATAATCCACACACTAGATGTCCATTACTGACCGTACAACAGAGTGTTAAGTGTTCCACATTGTTCTAGAGAATGGTTGTTGTCTACTTATATGGTCTTGGAAAATTCTCACGTTATACTAGCTTTTGTCTTTTGCGACTGAGTTAGGTCCAAGATCCATTTTATTAGCAATATATATATAGTCTGTTATCTGTTAGACTTAATTCTTCTTTCCGTCATATAACTTCTCTAAAGAATTTTTTTGCTGTATACATTGGCTATTATAGTAACTGTAGTCCTATCAGTAGAGTCATTTGTTGCATCATTGTGTTAATATCATGGCGATATAACCTATCATCTTGATCCTATTAATAAGTTTGTTTTCTTTGAACATCATTCCTGGGCTACTAATAAGCAGTCTTGACAAAGTCAGGAGTAATTGTTGATTTAATGATTGGTAATGGAATTGTATGTTGCTTGAGATTTGGCTTTTGACTGCTTCGGTAGATAAGTTGAACTTGACTTCACCACTGATGTATAGTCGGTCTTGAGTAAGTGTTATACTCTATGCTGCATCAGCTAGTTTAATTAGCCTTTAGATTTCAGGAAAGGAACAATATTTTTTTTGAGCATTACAGTGTTATATCTTTGAACATTGAGTTTGAAATTATATCTAGCGTGGAAAGCATCATATCTATATCTGAATTTCGTTCTGTGAAGTAATTCAGTGGGATTATGAGCCTTTTCAGTTTTCTGAAAGGTTTTCAACGTCTTTTAATAGTGAAAAGAGTGTAAATCATTTGGATTAGGATGACTGATGTGTATTTCCCTATACTTCATTACTCTGTGGATTCTGATTTTAGCATAATTTTGCAGGTTCATTTCTTTTTGCAGAGTGGGCACCGGAGTTTCTGATGAGGAACGTAATACCATAGTAACTCGATTAAAACCCTATTTCAGGCAAGAATTCTGTCGATGTAGCTTGAGTTGGATATTGTTTTCTGTTGTACCTTTTGTTCTTGCACTATCCAAGAATGCTTTTCTTGCTTGTTGCACCTTATCTAGTGAAAAAATTATAGTTTTTTACTTTTGGTGACTGTCAGAGTTGCAGAGTATACCAATTTTGGTAAAAGTGCTTTTGTTGTCAGTGGACTTCTGGTTGTCCACCGACATTATTATCCACTTTAATATTCTTTCAGATAAATGTTTGAAGATTTGGAAAATAAAAAAGAGAATTTTAAATGTCTATATAACATAGTCCATACGAAGCTGCATGAATCTTTGATTAGGGGGATTACTTTAGACAGAATACTCAGTTTTTTGCATATCGTGCTAATACTGGCGTATTCATATCGGCAGGAAGTATGAGTACCCGAAGCAGGCACCACCAACGTTTTATCAAGTAACAAATAATGCAAAAGAGCGACCAGACGTGTGGGTTGAAAGTCCAGAGAAGTAGGCCACTTTGACGAATCTCGCAATTGGTGTTAATCATGCAATTATGTATCTGACTCCTGTGTATCATTGCAGATCCATCATTGTTTCGATTACAAGTGACATTAGAACAATAAGAACTGAGGTACAGCTGGAGTAGAAGTCTTTCCTTCTCCATTTGTTAGCAATATATGCTTATTGCTCATATGAAAGCAGTGAGAGTTGAAAGCCTGGGGAATTTGTTTTCTGTAATTTATTTTCTATTCAATTATTTACTCAATAGTTGCATGAATTGATCAATTTATGAGACGCTTGAAATCCGCATCACTCTATCTATTCCAGTATGCCTATTTCTCCAACGTGATGATGAAAGTTTGATCAGTAGAATTCATTTTCTGGCCTTTCCAGGTATTTGCTGCTCCATACAGCTTGAGATTTCCACGTATTGATCGAGTGAGATATGACAAGCCTTGGCACGAGTGTCTTGATGTGCAATGTTAGTGTCTTGTTACATTGGTTTTTGATGTCTATTTTTGCAACTTTGTCTGGTGCATTATGTTCCTTGATTCTATTCCCGTGTTCTACTTATAGCAGAATGTTTTGTTATTCCTGTCCCAGCATTTGTTGACCTGGTACATTCGAGCAATGGTACCACGCAGAGGGAGGCAGATTATGGAGTTGGGCAGGATCATGAACCAAAGGCCATTAGGCCGTCAAGAAAACGAGGGAAAAAGAATGTTTCTGCAGTTCCTTCTCATTTTGTACAGACTGACGTGTCTCACATCAAGGGTGAAACGTCAATGTTCTCTAACATGGTGTTCTGTATCCTCATCTATGATGTCAAAGCAAAAATATACTCTGGTTACTAAGCTGTCTTGTAGTTTTAACTGTAAGATGTACTTTGTAATTTTGGTCCTTTTTTGCTTTAGTCTGGTCAATGGGTCATATCATACGTGATGTTTGTATCATATAACAGAGAATTTTGTCAGTTGTTTCTTAAGTTTATTCTGCCTTAAGAATGGCTGGGAGAATTAGCTTTTGTGACTCAACTTTTAGCTCTATGTGCTTATTGCATGTTATCTGTCAGTCGTATTACATGCTAACATATATTTAAATTATTTTAAGAAATATTTGTCACCTAAGTATAATAGATATCCTTGACGATACCAGATTTTGCTAATGTGACTTCATCACATACACTCGATTCCATGCACAAAATGGTGGTCGAGCATGGGGGTTCTTTCTCCATGAATTGGAATAACTCAGTTACTCATTGTATAGCAGCTGAAAATAGAGGTTTCTCTCTCTCTCTCTCTCTCTCTCCTTCCAGCTGCATGCATCGTTATTTAAAGCCACTGCGTTATTGCTTGAAGCGATGAAGCGAGCTGTTATCCCTTCATTGGTGAAGCCATGCTCCTTAGAGAAGTTTGTGCTTCAACAATAGAGCATAAACTGATTCCAACGAGAGTCAGTCACCTCTTTGAATCTCAACTTTCAGGAGTTAGATTAGTCATTAGTATCAACATTTAGTATATTTGATGTTGAAATAAGTTATTTTAGTTGCAATTTAACTTTTATTGTACTTAGTTGATTGATGTTTTATCAAATTTCATGTAAATTGTGCACTTCACTAAACAGAAGCGTGCACTTCACTTCTCTCTTTCACTCAAGTCTCATGGAGCTTGTTGCTTTTTTTGCGCTTTCCGCTTTAGAAAACATTTGGTGTGTGGAGATAGAAAAGTTCATGTGAAAACCCGTATCAGCTTTGGTCCACTATACATTACTAGGAATTATTCTTTTTGTAAAAACAGGTATCAAGTTTCAAGCTGCAAAACTTCATGGAGATGTTATTCACTGCTCTTGGCTCTTTGATTGCTGTCTGCAAAAGAGGCTCCTTCCTTTACAGCCAAAGTTAGTTTGCATTTCAGTTTTTCTCGTCGTGTTCTCTCTTCCTGTATTTGGAGTTCCATGTGATCTGCGATCCTTTGACTTTTCTTTCTTGACTCTTACTGAAGGTATTTTCTTTTCCTTTCTGATTCAACAAAGAGAAAGTTGGAAGCAGAAGTGGATGAATATTCTGATTCTTTCTACTCTGACCTCAGCGTCAAAGACATTAGAAAGGTATAATTTGGTATAATTATCTGCTACAAACTATTATACGTATAGCTTCAGCATTAGGAGCAGTTACTCTAAATTGTTTATCAAGCAGCTGACTGCCTATCTTCTTTGATTATGTCCGTTTTATGTCTTTCTTATTTCAGCTTTTGAGTGACATAGAACGCTCCGAAGACTCCAAAACTGTTGAGTACTACAAGAAAAAGTACTGTCCCAAGGATAAATGGGCTCGATTTCATGGTTGCTGCATTTACTTTTTCATTCCAGAGCAGTGTTTGTGAGAATTTCTATCTTTTCTGTTTAATTGTGGAATTAGATTCTCTATTTGGGTATCAGTATGTCGATGTGGTTGTTCTTTGGTATAGGCTTAATGGCTCTGCTATGTGTTTCAGGAAATATTCAGATTGCAAGGCTTTAGTGGAACTCGCTATGAGAAGGATGAAAGTTGAAATTTCTGTGGGTGGTGGGGAAGTTGGTGACAATCTTTATCATGCTACCCATGTGGTGGTCGTGTCTCTACCAGACTTTGATGTAAATTTCAGTGAAGTTTTAAATAGGTAATTTACCAATCTACTTTATTTTGCAGAAAGTAAGATGATCACCTTTTATATTGAAACTTAAAAACCGGCATCTTAGTGGTTGCCAACCTCTTCCATTTTGTAGACTTCGTGACTTGTAATTATGAAACAAATGAATTTTGGGGGACAAATGGAGACAGTGGACTTTTTAGTTGTATTTCGACTGTTAGATTTTCTGTCCTAATTAATGGGAATCTTGAAGGTTTTTTCCAGTCTCAAAGGGGTTCGAGACAAGAATGATCCTTTGTCTCCATATCTATTTGTGATGGTTATGGAAGCTTTCAGTCATATGCTCAAAAGGGCAGAGGAAAGGGGTTGGATAAGAGGGTTCAGTATTGAAGGACATGGGAATAACAAGGTGGAAGTTTCACATATCCTTTATGCATATGATACTTTGGTGATGTGTGAGGCGGTTAGAGATCAAAATTTTCATTTGAGGGTAATTTTACTAGCTTTTGAAGCTATCTCAGGACTGAAAGTTAATCTGTCAAAGAGTAATGTTTATGCTGTTTTTTTCTGATGAATATATAGAAGTGGCTGGAATTTTGGGATGCCTGGTTGATAGGTTTCCTGCAGTTTATCTCAGTCTTCCTGTAGGGGCTAAGCAGAGGGATCAAGCATTGTGGCAAGAAGTGTTGGATAGGTGCGAGAAAAAATTATCTCACCGGAAGAAGCAATATTTATCTTCTGAGGGTAGGCTTACACTTGTGAGTAGTGTTCTTGATGGCATGCCTACTTACTTAATGCCCCTTATTCCCATTCCAGTAAGTGAGAAGAAAGTTAATAGATTGAGGAGCAGCTTTTATGGGAAGGTAATTAAAAAAAACGAAATTTCATTTAGCTAGATGGCAAGATGTGATGGTATCTAGAAAAAGGAGGAATGGGAGAGTAGAATCTCAGGTTGCATAATAAAAGCTTGATGTGTAAACGGCTTTGGAGATACAATGAGGATAAAGTTGAGCTATGCAAGGAGGTTATCAACACTAAATTTGGCAAAGTGGACTGCTGGAATCCAAATCCTGTACTACAAGCAAGTAAAGTGACAATTTGGAAAAACACCAGTAAGTTATGGAGGGATTTTCATACAAATGTCAAGCTGTAGGTAGAGAATGGTGCAAGGATAAGATTCTGGGTAGATAAATGGATAGGCGATGAGAGACATAGAGATAAGTTCCCTATTTTATATAATCTCTCTGTGACCTTATAAAAATAAAAATAAAAAAACTCTCTGGACGCAAAAATTGTGTGGTTTCAGAGTGTTACTCTGAAGCTGGTTGGAATATTCAGTTTAGAAGGGATTTTAATGATCGGGACACAGATGAGATCAGTCTGTTAGCTATTTTAGAACCTCTCAAACTGGACAGTTCAAAGAATGACTCACAGGTGTGGCTGGCAAACAATGAAGGAATTTTTACAGTAAGTAGCTGCTAAGTTTGAATAATTGGAAGGAGGCATGGCCCTGGAAGATGATCTGGAAGAATGAAGAACCATCAAAGGTGGCATGCTTTGGATGGGTTGCTAGTAGAAATGCATGTCTAACTCAAGATCTTCTTTAGAGGAGAGGATTTCTAATGTATAGTAGGTGTTATCTATGTGAGAGGGAAGTAGAATCAACAAATCACATACTGATTCACTGTGGTTTTGCCTGGCAGATCTGGGCTGTCCTGTTATGTTTATTTGGAGTGCACTGTGTGATGCCTTCAGATGTGCAAAGTTTATTATCAAGCTGGCAAGCACAGAAGATTGCAGAAAGAAAATTTGGAGAACAGCTCCTTTATGCATTTTATGTACGGGTGGCAAATGGGCTGTATTTGGCCTGGTCAAGATGGACTGACTCATTAAAATGGGTTATTGTCCAACACTTTGGGTCAAGATGGGCTAAACAATGGGTTGTAACCCAACTCACCTAAATTGACCCAAATCTTTGCAATATTCTCAACTTTTAAACAAGCATATATAAAAATTATCTTATGTTTTGGAATAAATGTCAATTCATGCCAAATGATTTCTTTCCTCAATTTGCATGTAGAATTTTATTTGATAGTTCTTCATCTTATAATTCTAAAGATCAGAATAATAATAAAGTAGTAAAATTAGAACTTCCCACCCACCCAACCCGCCTCACACCACCCCAACCCCCACTTTACTTGCGACCTCCACCCCATCCTAAATAGAACTATTATTTAGAGCACGTTCTTTTAATGTTGTAGATAGAGTGTTTTATTTTTCATTTCAACCAAATGGATATTTTATATAGAAAAAATATTTTCTTTCATTTCAATGAAATAAGTACTTTATTTTCATGATGTAGAAAAAATATTTTCTTTTTTGCAAAATGAGTACTTTCTTTTCATGTTGTAGAAAAAGTATTTTCTTTTATTTCAATAAAAAAATATTTAAACAAAGAAGTAACTCCTGGCTCGTGAATTAAAAATTATATTCATATGTTCTTAAACATGTGTCAGATGTTTTCTTACTAATAAGAAAGTAAAAAACGAAAACATATGATCACTGCAACTGTTTCTCAAATACCCAACAATCTGTATTTGTGCAAAAGATACAAAAGAGTTCTACAAAAAGCAGATGGAAGAAATTATTCACGGCTCAGGTTTGGGCTAAATTATGGGCCGAGTTTGGGCTAGAAAAATAAATGGGTTTAGTTGGGTTGTGCCCAAACTCAGCCCATCATTAATATATCTCATGCCCAACCCATTAAAACTTGGGCGGGTTGGACGGGTCAAATGGGTTTGGGCCGACTTTGACACCCCTAATCTTATGGAGTATGTGGTGGGAAAGGAATAGGAGGTGTTTTGATGGAGAGAGCAAACAAATAGCAGTTGTAAAGTATAATTGTTCAGAATCTGTTTCGATGGTGTAAGGCGAGGATAATAGAAGACTTCTATGATGTTTTATACTTTTTGGATGCACTGAGATTAGTGTACTTAATTGCTATATGGTGATTTCTGTACTGTTGTAAATTTGTTTGTTTTCAGTACCATCTTGGTACTTGCCTTAATAATATTTACTTATCTTATCAAAAAATAAAATAAAAAATAACTGCAACTTGTGGTATTTCTCATATAGTTTCAAAGTATCCAAATATCATATAAAAAATGAATTGCTCTTAAGTCCGATTCAATGATGAAATGAAGAAGTTGACGCTTGATAAACTAAATGTAGAGAATCATGCAATATCTAATTTACTCAAAACCATGTAACTTCGTGTCTGCCAGAATACATTTTGATGACAGATGATGTTTTTCTTTTACTGAATGAGGATAAGAAATATGCTCTCGTTTTTTATTCCTGATAATTTCCTAATCTTTCATAGTTCAGTTTCTCAGAGGCAGAGAAGCATGTTTTGTACAATACAAAGCTGCACGTTGTCAGGGCAAGGTGGTTGGAGGATTCCTTTAAAGAGGACCGGAAGTTGCACGAGGATAGTTACAGCCTAAAGCCTAGCAATTTTCAAATGTCAATCTCTGAGAAGAGGTCAGTCATGTATTACTTATAGATCATGGTAAAGAGTTAGTGTATTTAATATTGGAGTTATTTCTCTTCATTTTTGTCTTCCCTATTCGTGTGTGTGTTTTGCTTTTTTTTGTTTTTTTCTTTGGGGGGGGNNGGGGGGGGGGGGTTGGATATGCCTTGAGGGAAGCTCCTTAGGTTGGTTATTTTTTTTTTCTTTTTTGATAAAGGAAGCTCCTTTGCTCACTATGCAGATATGCTACCTTTTACCTACTAAATAACATGTAGGAAGATACTTCTTTCCAAAATGTTTGTCGCTTCTCCCATTCTAAAATATGTTTTGTCGTCTTTCTTATGCAAGTAAAATTCCGTTGTATAGTACGTGTCATGCAGTTTTTGGATATGTATATTTTAGTTTTTGGAAAATGAATTAATCTTAATCCAATTTAGCTCCAAAATTGGTCAAATAGGCAGTCGATAAGCGAAAAATATGGGCAGACGAGTATAAAGGTAAGAATGAGACCCCGCACATTATATATGATAGAGTTTGACTGTATACGGAGTAGAGTAAAATTATAATGATAATAGTATAATGAAAATAAATATTATATTAGTATAATAGGCAATTGATACGTTAAAAACATGGATAGGAATGAAACTTTATGTTATAGTGTTCGACTGTATATGGAATAGAGTATAAATAATATACAGAGTAGAGTATAATAATAATGATAATAGTATAATGCTGGTCAAGATTATTAAGAGATAATATGCATGCAGCTGCTGCTGATGTTGATAAGAAACAGCAGTAATTGCATCTGCCAATAGGAAGAAGTAATTGTATGGCGATAGAAAAATCCACGTTGGGTCTTACCAGCACTTGGGCAAGAATTGAAAAATACTTATAATTGGTATGCTAAAGAACCAACTATTGGGAAGTAATATTGAGCTGTGGATAGTACTAGCCCTGTGTTTGACCAAAAAGTATGGTTCTTGGTTCAAATAATTAAATTTATGTAATTAGGGGTTAAACTTAGTTAACAATAATATCTCTAGATGAAGCTTTCAAGTGTGCAATGAATATTAGAGGGTTTGGGTCAGATAGTGATGATAACATGCAGTAACTGTTCTAGAAAGTACGAGCAATAATGTAGCATTTAGTAACAATGAATAACATTAAATGACATTTGAGTAAATAGGAGGAATGATTCACCCAATAAAGGATGAGATAGATGGATGTTCCTCCTATGAATGACACACAAATCCTTGAATATTCGAGTTATTCTCAGATCTGATGGAAAAGTAAATAGTATATCCAATGTAGGATTCTTTTTCCAATATAGGTGGATTTTGTGCCTGGAATTTTGTGCCAAAAGTGAAGAAGGATGGAGGATATTTGTGTCCATAACAAAGAGCCAATTAATTGAGAAATGCAGTCCTAGCAACGAGATTCCTGCAACCAAATTACCTATCTTTTGTCCTATAATTTGTACATATTCATCTTCTCATACTTGAACTTACTAGCTTTGCTTTAAAAATATTTTCCCAGGAAAGCTAGAAATGCAGAAACTTCTGCTAGTAAATTCAAGTGTGCATGACCTTTTCCTTTGCTGGCATTTTGTTGTGTTTAGCCAATTTACTCGGTGCTGATGTTTTCTCTGATTTAATAGACATGATAAGGTAAGAGGAAAAGCCGTAAAGTGCAAAAGAGCATCTTCCCCTGATAATCACGGAGTACAAATCAAAGCAGAAGGAACTTCAGACCAGTGCCAAGCCATCACGCTACCTAAGGGGGATAGAAAGAGAAATAGATTAAGACCTACTGGTACTGCTACAGCAAAAGCAAAACCAGCAATCAACATGCCCCGGAGAGATAGACGCAAGGCCACAAATAGACGTGCTAAGATTCATGAAAACGAATCTGATGAAAGTGCCACTTCAGGTGAGCACCTTCATAATGATGAGAGTGAAGGAGCTGCTGGGACTTGTGGAAGTCATGAAAATGTTGCAGAGCATGGCTCAGGAATTGAGAATAAGGATGTTGCAGATGATTTGGAATTGTCACCACATGGTGAAACATTTCCACAAGGCACTTCTGAATGCAGTAGGAGCCGTGAAAGATTGGACGAAGCTCACGAAACTTCATATGAAAGTGCAAATATTGCCAGTGGTAAGCTGGAAGACCCTGTTGATCCAGTCCAAGCTATGTTATTGCATATGATACCCCACCTGGATAGTAAGCCAAGCCAAAGTGTGGAGAGTCTTGTAAAAGACGACAAACCAGAGGCAGATGCTAATCCTAGTCCTAAAAAGAAGAAGAAAGTTAGCTATAAGGACGTAGCTGGTGAATTGCTCAAAGATTGGTGAAACACTTTATATCATGTATGTTCCCTTCTTACCCTTAACGTGATGATTTATGGCCACACAAATATCTTAGACTTGTTTTTAATCACAAGTTTCAAACGTTTAACTTTCTTTCTTAAACTTCATGCCTAGTCAAACGGTGTCTCATAAGTTGGGACCGTGGGAGTATTTTTTTTAATTTTTTATTTTTTATTTTAACTGAGAGCATCTAATGGGTTGCGGTCACATGATATTTTTGTCTATACCTCTTCTCTTCCGATTCGAGAGACCTAGCTCTGGTGTCTTTGTATATAGTCATTTATGCAAAGACACTATGTAATTTGCACAGACTTGATGCTGCAAAACAAAGTAAATAAAAACCAAATCCCTGGAACTAAAGGTCGAAATCATGCTTTAATTAGCGAAGTACTTCTACCTCGATTACTGAGCATCAACTATTGTGGCATAGTAAAGAATATTTTTAAAAAATAGTGAAGAATAAAAAGATCTATTATTCAAGGTGAATACAATGAATCACATGCAAGTTGTCTTAATGAAGCGTAATGGAGTATCCTGTAACTGCAACTAAGAGTATTACGCTTGTTGAGACTAATGAATAGTTCCAGAAGCAGTGTAACTTAAATATGATTAGTTATTCAAAAATTTAAAACTTAAGGTAAACTATAAATTCCATAATGGATGGATGTTGTCGAATTCATGTGCTCAATGAAGACCCGAGTGTTTCAAATGTAAGCAAATTTGTTGATGACTGCGTGCAATCAATGATGCTTGGAGAGTTGACCTGAACTGTTAAAACGGCAGGTAATTCATAAGAAAGAACAACAAATACAAGGATCACAGAGGTTGCGATATACAACCAAACTTCTCTGTAACAGTCCTATTTATTCTGAAGTTTTTGGGCTACAATATATATATTATAATAACAACAACAATAACAACAACAATCCAGTAGAATCCCACTAGTGGGGTATGGGGAGGGTAGAGTGTATGCATGTCACAATATATATATATATATATATATATATATATATATATATTATAACATAATAAGAAAAATTGGTTCGAAAGAAAATTTGACCGTTACAGTGAAGTGCTATTATAGAGGATGAATGTTATAGAGAGGTCTGACCGTAGACTTTAGAAATAACTTTCACACTTTACAGAAACAATCAGAATAGATATGGGGTTTAGTTAAAAACATCACGACCAGCAGCTCTCTCCGGTTAAAAAGTTACTGTCCTTTGGAAAGAGAAAAAAATGCACTGCATTGGCAAACAATGAGGACTATTTGTGCTCCAAATAAAAAAATAAGAATACTTTTACATCTTTGATCAAAGATAAGGGTCTATATTGGACTTTTTCTCACTTTTATGCGGTCTTTTAAACATCTCAATATCTTTTAAAATATATATATGAGTTTTAATAATTTTATACATAAATGGAAAGACAAAAATTGAAATATGAGGAATACATTAAAAATGATAAATTGAGACTTAAGGAATACATAAAACAAGCATAAAAACAAGGGTAGGTTGCGCAGGTTATCCACTTGGACATTCAGATGGAGCTTCTTTTTACATAAAAGCGCCAAAAAAAAAACCTAAAATTATTGTAAACTTTACTGAAATCAAAGAACGAACTATACTATATTAGAAGACTTTGTACATATTTAAATACATAAGCGGCCGCAAACCGTGTCCATTGTTTCATTTTAACATAACTAGAACAAGTATCCATTGATCACTTGCACTATTTAAGAAGTGCACTAATTAGACGCGAGACCTTGAGACAAGTCAAATATTGAGATAAGTGCAATTCGCACGTGGTTAACTTGAAAAAAGAACATGGATTTAGTAGCCAAATAGTACAATGTTTTTTTGAGCAAAAAATAAAGAAAAGAAAAGAAAAAATAGAAATTTGTCTTCTTCTATGGAATTTTTCGTTCCTATACAATATTTGAAACTTATTTATCAAAATTGTCTTAGTTTTGTATATTATTCGCCCTAAACAAGGTTTGCTTACAATTTATATACAATACATTATTAGTGCCTTAAATAAGAGGATTTAGTTACACTTTTTTCGTTTTTTTCTCCTCTCCTCTTTCCTTATTTTTCTGCCGCCTTAATTGCTTGTAAAATTAAGATGAAATCTTTTTAGAGCGATAAAGAAATGTCAAAAAAATCGTGGAAATGACATCAAGTAACCACTTTAACTATGCTATTTGAAATATATCCACTGTTTACAATGTATTTAAAGATTAGCCAATTTCGCTCAAACTTCAGGATAGGACGTCCTAGAGTTTAAAGTGTAGCCCGAGGCACTAAGCTCCCTGTCACGACCCAATTTCCCCTCCGTTGGGTATCGTGATGGCACCTAGTATTAGGGACTAGGTAAGCCTAACATTAAATGAAACAACAACAATATTAAAATAACATCTAACAATTTGAAATAGAAATCTGTTTAAACTTTACAACCCCAAAACCGGTAGTACAAGTCATAAGCTCTACAGAGTTTGCTACCACTTCTAAATACAACTGTTTGGAAATAAGTGAAAAACACTGTGAGTACAAAGTAGGAAGGCCACTCCGAAGCCTGCGAACGCAACAACAAGTTTACCTTGAGTCTCCTAAGCAAGAATCCGCACAGCTACTAACGATCAAATATCTGTATCTGCACAAAAAATGTGCAGAAGTGTAGTATGAGCACACCACAGCGGTGCCCAGTAAGTATCAAGACTAACCTCAGTGGAATAGTAACGAGAAATAGTCAAGACACCCACTGATATAATTACCTGAGCAAGTATAAGTATATGAACAACAAAATATGATATCTACATGAGACCACACAATATGGCTAACAATACAGTAATTGCAATAAGAAAGGAAACAACAAGTACCGGCGGAATACCATAAAAATGACACAGAAGAATGAATGGAAACACAACTTAAATCCAAAATCACAGGTACAACAAAGACAAGTAATAACTCAATAACTACGACCGCTTTCATAACAAGTTTTAGTCAACAAACTCCACGAGGTACCGAACCTCGGACAAAACACAACTCACGGTTCTCAAAACCTGAACCCTAACACTTGGTATCCAGTGCCCTCGTTACACCTCAAGACCATACTAACGACTCACATACCAAATAGAACCATTCTCACATAGAAGGCAAGTAAACAAGGGTGTGCATCTATACTCAACAGTATGAAGAAAACATCTGATCCGATAAGATTGCTTAAATACGTGTATGCTTGTGCAAGTGTCCTAACATAGTTCCTACCAGCTAGTAAGCATAATGAAAAGAACGGACAACACATAGAATTTTTTCTCACAACTTCCACAAGATAAAGCTTACACACGTAAGTGTACCACTACACAAATATCATTAACAAGAATGCCCCCAGGCCATCACAAATCAATCCCTGACATAGCCTACCTTATCTCGCCACGTGTGCAATAATAATTGTATACGACTAAAATCGGAGAGCCCGATTTTAGGATTATTATGATATCCTACAGCCCGTTCTCGGAAGGCTCGAGGCTAGGTTCGAGGCCCGACTCCGAGGGCGTCCATACTCTCGATCTCGAGGCAGTGTAAACCAATGGCTATGATGGACTAATGGGAAGTTCCAAGGCACGTGACTAGAGCTGGCCACGCCTATTAGGCTAGTACAAGCCCGTACCGTGGCATTAAATGGCTTTACCAGCCGTATATCTTTGAAATAAATACATTTGTACTATGTTGGGATTCCCCCTGATATATAAAGGGGACCCTTGTCATTTTGTAGAACACACAGCATTACTCACAACATTCAACACAAGAACATCCTCTGCTCTCTAACTTAAACATATTCTCTTGGTTTCACTACTTACATTTATTGCTCATATTTATAGTGTTCTATTTATTGTTCTTCATTTATTGCTCATTATTGGTTATAAAGAGCCTTCATCAAAGTTCTTAGCTTATTTTTCTAGTCTTACACTTATCATCTATTGCCTAACAACTAGCATAAAAATAAATCACGTATTTTTAGAACAAGAAAATTAAATCTAATTGTAATCACCATTTTCAAGGTAAACAGTTTGGCGCCTACCATGGGGCTAAAAATAATAGTGATTGTTTTCTTGCTGGTTTACTACATAACGCAAGTTATCTTTCACGTTTTTTCTTGTCCAAGAATCTTTGATTTCAGGTCAAAATGTCTAACTTAGTGAATGCATATGAAAACAACGGTCTTGAGGACCATGGAGAGAATGGTGTGGTTGTTCCAGGTATTAGCGCACCACCACTAAACCCTGAGGACGCGCCAGAGCCAATCCCCGCAGATGTGGTCTCACGCGATGCCCGACACGTCGATATAAGCTCCCACACTAACAGGAGCGTACGACAAGGAGACCAACAAGAAGCCCAAAAAACCCCAGCTCGGGAGGAGCAAGAGGTTAGCCTTCACGTTATTTTTGAAATGTTACAGGCACAACAGTTGGCAATTGCTCAACTGCAAAGCCACCAAAAAACTCTAAGCACAGCAGCACCGAAAACGGCTCCTCGAGCCGAACAGGTACTGGAAAGATCGAGTAACAACGGGTTAGCAACCGACCCTGCTATTATGAAGATGCTCGAGGACCTCACAAAGAGGATCAAATCGGGCGAAAAATGATAGAAGCCAACGACAGAAAGGTGGAGACCTACAACTCGAGGGTCGATCAGATCCCAGGCGTACCCCCGATCCTGAAGGGTGTTGATTCGAAGAAATTCGTGCAAAAGCCATTTCCGTCAAATGCCACTCGAAAGCCCATCCCAAAGAAGTTCAGAATGCCCGACCTTCCAAAGTATAACAGAACCCCGGACCTCAACGAGCACGTCACTGCTTACACTTGTGCGGTAAAGGGCAACGACCTGAGGGACGATGAGATCGAATCCGTCCTGCTAAAGAAGTTTGGGGAATCACTCTCGAAAGGGGCCATGATGTGGTATCACAACCTAGCTCCGAATTCAATAGACTCATTTTGCCATGCTAGCAGATTCTTTCATAAAGGCACATACCGGTGCCATCAAGGTGGCTACGAGAAAATCCGATGTCTTCAAAATCAAACAAAGAGAAAACGAGATTTTGCG